GAGAGAGAGAGAGAGAGAGAGAGAGAGAGAGAGAGAGAGAGAGAGAGAGAGAGAGGGAGAGAGAGAGAGAGAGAGACGCTCAGGGTGAAGAGAGGGGGACAAAACGGACTCCAGTTTCCGATGGACTGTTCTGTGTCTTTAGTGTAAACGATTTACGAGCCCACGTGGGGCCATGGCGACGTGTGAACGCTGTGGCGGGTTGACTTGTTCAGTAAAAGGAAAGGGTGTACAATGGGCTCCTGGGGGTAGCCCCCTACTAGGTGCGAGTTGATTGAACCCTCCCTTTCTGAGCGGGTGCTGTTTTCTGAATGCGCGTGTTTTTGGGAACTTGGGCAGTATTGGTTTTCTCTTCTACTGTCTTCTACACATTTGTCTTCGGTGTGAGTTTCCTCTTCTCTGGCAACCAAATGTGGGCTCTCCTTTTCCCTCCGACAATGGATGGTGGCTACCCCCCAATGGATGGTGTGATACCGTACCGCCTTTGTCTGGCTGGGAGAGAAAAGTGACTGGGAACAAAATTTAATGATGATGGTTGGTGCCATGACTGAGGCAAAGAGAGAGAGTATGGAATTTAGGTGACAACAACATTACAACAACAATTGGGGTGGTAGGACGGAGGCAAACAGAGGCAAAGAGGGTGAAAAGGGGGAGTGTAAGGAATTAGGTGACAGCAAGCCAGTTTCTCCTTTTTGGTGAATCGACTCAAGTACTAAGAACTGCAAAAGAAGGAAAACTCTCTAATGGTCTCTGTCGCCTCTCCGCCGCCCCCACCCGTCCTCCCCCCTGCTGCTCTCCTGTCTTCTTCGCGTGTGTCTGAGTTTTTGTTTCGCTGATTGAATGTGATCGATCATCACATAAGTGGATTGACTTGATTGACACTGAGCTCTGCTCTTCTAGATCTAACATTACTTCAGATAAAGTGAGTTCTGGTACGAGGCCTGAAAGCCTGGTGTTTTGGATAGTAGGTGGGTTCAGTTTTGACCCTCCGCTCTCGTATTTTTCCGAGCTTTTTCAGATTTTTTCTGAATTTAAGCCTATCTCATGAGGTCTTTTGTCTAATAGGCTAGAAATTGCTCATGATCCTATTCTTAGCCGAAGCCGGGTAATGGCCCCGGTATCTCGAGTTTTTTTCTGTATACGTTCTCCGAATGTCCCTAATGGGACACTGGGCCTGGTTCCCAGCACGTGCGGCTCCCCGCGAATAGATTGGAGCATTGTTCCACAAAAAAAA